TGGTGTGCAGACACTGATTGGAAAGCTGGAGTCCCACCTACAGGCCATGAACGGTATTGCAGCAGGCTACATTTCATTTAGACCCTAATGAATGTACACAATGACATGGTTAATACTGGTCAAAAGTTAATCTACTTCACTTTAGACCAAAAGTAAAATAAGTCAGGCATTTCAATGTATAAATACAAATTCAGTTACAAATTTCTACCTTTTTTAGTTTCCTTTGACGTGGATCAAATTCTTACTCTTGACCTCCCTCTCAGCGACTTACCTGTCATTAAAGCTTCAAGTCTAAATCTAGGTCTTAAGGTAAGGTGTTTTTCCTATTTCAAATTAAATCTACAATGCAAAGTGTTCAAAAGCAGCTGTATAAATACTCATGAAACATACTCTTGCACCCATAATTTATAACAAGGGCTTGTGTGAAAATGTGAAAGAACAACAACAAATGATAAAAATTTAGGATTAATGATGTGCAGCTCTTTATTTGAAGGGGGAGTTCTTCGGTATCAGAACTCACAAGGACCCTCCCTTTGAGGCCAAACCTTTCACAGTACCTGAACAGCCAGGCTACATGTTGTCAGTGGGCCTGTCTGAATTCACTCTGAACTCTGCCTTATATGGATGCTACTCAGACGGACTGCTTCAGGCCATCATTAATGATAGCATGGTAAGTAGCCCTCAGAGGATGCATAAATGAATCAATAAAGGAAGAAAGCAAGACAATTTAAGTTTGACTTACAGTTTTCCTCCTTACACAATGTTTGTGGTTAAGAAATGTGGTCTCATTATCTCAGGTACCCCCATTCTCTCCTGTGCATCTAAATACCAGCTCAATGGGGATCTTCATTCCTCAGGTAAGTTCTCTTTGGCAACACTAAGGGAGGAACTCAGTTTATTTGAGTATTTCATGTATCAAAGAGTCTAACTCTTTACTGACTTTCTCTCGTGTCCAGTTTTCCTGCCCCTCTTGACTCTGTACTATGGAATCTTCAAAATATTCAGTAACTAAATGTTTACCATCAACTTGATTTCTCCCTGTAGCTTCCCAAGATGTTTCCAGGTCTGCTGATGACTCTGCAGGTTTATGCCAAAAAGGAGCCTCTATTTTCCCTCCAACCTGATGCTGTGAAACTGGGCGTCCAGGGTGCTGTGAAGGCTTTCGCCATCCAGCCCAATAGTACCCTGACCCCACTGTTCACCCTCAATGTTGTGAGTACTTTTGGTTTTGGCCTGTCAATATACCTTGAATGAATACGAGCAATTTTTCACTTTTTCTTATAAAATTGGTCACTGGCTAAT